CGTAGGTTAAAGTGGTTAAAGTGAGACGTTATGAACTTATGGCAAACAGTATTCAACGGCGCAAGCACGTGTATTTTATATTTTTCTCATTGACAATGGTCAAAGGAATATGTTGCCAGATTCCTTCAAGTAGTGACAATTCGACGTTTAGCTCCCAAAGGTCACCTTCATGCCCATAGACTCATTCAATGTAAATATAATCGGCCGAGTTATAGGAACTGTCCAAGGGACCCTTACCCCTTGGTTCAGGTTAATAAGGTCAGAGGGGGTCGCTACCCTTCTGGCATGTGCTCTGGGGACCCTTACCCCCAGAGCAGCTCTGGGGACCCTTACCACCAGGGCAGCCCTAGGGACCATTACCCCTAGGGTTATCAGAGCGGGCCTTATATATACCCCGCAGGATGAAATATAAGGCCATAAAGAGTCTATTGGGTTAAATATACATATAATGTGACACTTATTGTAACAGGAGTACTTCACCCCCATAACTCATTATCCCACACAAAAGCTGTATGTGTCTATTCTTAATTCTTAGCTCAGTTAGCTGGCAGGAGAGCAATTGTTCCATTAATTATCATAAATCACAAATATACAATAAATATAATGTACTTACTGTAGTTAGGTTGATGTGGCCTGTGGTGGCGAACAAACGTTTCGTGAAAATATTCACCCCCCTGTTATGTAACCCACGAGGTGTTTTCGCGAACTTGCGCGTGACTTTTAAATTATTTCTTTTGAATTCTAACAGGACAATTGTACTGGGAGGTTTTTTCCTCCCAAGTACAAATAATATTTCCAATTTTTGGATTGGGACTATTCTACAATGAAGTACTCTTGGATAATGTAATCTAAATACATATGAAAACGAAGAAGTGGCATTTATCGGGCAGAGAAGCGGCGAGCCATTAAAATGGCGGCAATTTGACGAAATATCGAAGGACACAATATCGAAGATATAATACACTGCACTGTTTCAAAAGTGGATGAAACCTTCTTTGAAATCTTCTTCAGCCATTTATGATTATGTAAAAGTACAATAACTGGATGATATTTGCGACATTCGGCGATAAAAAGCAAACAAGACGGCAAAATATGGTTGAAATCGTGTTTTCGTGGGGGGTAAGTGAAATAAAATGTATTATATTTAAAGAAAACAATGATAATCCTTATGAAATCAACAATATTTATATTAAATTAAGCATACTTTTTCACCCCATGATAATTTTTTTTAGGAAATAAGAATATTTAATTTATGCATAATTAGCCATTTACCTGGGCTGCGGCATGGTCATTTTCTTGTAAAATATTATATATAGACAAATTTTTCTTCCAGTGACCACCCCTAAAAGTAACCCTTCTAAACACTATAAGCACTTCAGAAAGACTATCGCTTTTTGTTTTCTGAATTTAGAGCTATATCAACACTGCCGTTTCAGGGCGGGGTTATTTTCAGGACTTTCGTCCCGGATTCAGCTTTTGGCACATATGCCATGTTGACCGCCATGGTCATTTTACCCTAAAACAGTTGAGATTACCTGTGCTAAATGAAACGCATACAAACTCATATACAGGTCCTAGACTATGCAGGAAGGTGAGTCCGGGATTGCACGCACCGAGGGCGGCTGGACGTTTTCCAAACTCACCGAGCGAGGCGAGGTGAGTTTGGGAAACATACAGCCACCCGAAGTGCGTTCAATCCCGGACTCACCGAACCTGCAAGTATGTTTGGCTTTTATCCCATACACCGAGCCTAGCCTGCTCACAGTCGTCGCTTGGCGTAAGAATAACAACGTCTGTGAGCAGGCTAACACCGAGCCATACACATTGTAGCTCTTTGCGATATACTCTTCGATGTTTTGTCAACATTTTCTTGGCCAAAAAATCGCTGGGCTCTTAATACTTCTTTATCTACGTCTAGATTACTTTTGTGCATTTTTTCTTGGTATTTTCTTCAGTCTCAGTAGGTTCGTCAGCGGAAAATGATCTTTAAAATTTAGGATTATTGGCTAAGCCTTGTCCGCCATTGTTATTGTTACTGCAACGTATACAGTCTCACGAGTGAGCTCGACGAAAGGCATGTGAGCTCGGTGGAAGGCAGGTGAGCTGGAGAAAAGCTCACGTGCTCTAAACGAATCAGAATGCCGCTTTTAAAGCCGGTTTTCCACTTCAAGCGTACCGTATCGAAACGTATCAAAAACGTTTTTAAATTTCAAAATTTCGTGAATGTTGATTGGTTAGTACTTCCGTAGTACGCCAAAAATTTGACTCTGCGACGAACTTTTCATTTTGATACACGAATACACCCGAAAGCAGTGCCGTAGCCAGAATGATATTAGCACATATTCATATATTCGTGTTCACATACCATAAAAACAATTTATTTCAAAAAAAATTAATAAAGCAGAACACGAACATATGAATATGTGCCCCCCCCCCCAATTATCGTTCTGGCTACGGCACTGCCCGGAAGTACGTGGACCTATAAACCTCTTTTCAATCTGCGCATGCCCACCAGTACGTTTCGGTACGATACGAGCGAAGTGGAAAACCGGCTTAACACACGCCTGGGATAAGGGCTGTTCTGCGCCCCAGGGACAATGTTATTAATTCCTTCCGGATATTTACACCCGGGTTGAAGGGAAGCATAACGGCGAGAAAAGTAAAAAATTCTGTTGCATATATTCAATGGTATCGTACGTTGTAATAGTATGTAGAAAGATCATGATTGGCTAAAATAAAAATTATATTCTACCTTGTGACGACACAGTTGCAGCAGTTAAATTTTGTGTTGACGTAGCAGCAGTTGGATCAACAACAGGAGCTGGTGTTGGCGAGGTATCTTTTGGTGCTAAAACAAATTATGTAAAATATGGGAAATTTTTAAAAGTTCATCAACGTTGTTTCTCTCTAATCATAATGAATGGGTAAATATACAATTTAGGCTAATTTTTCGTAATACCACCGCTGTACAGTATATATGCATTGCAGAACTTTGGATAATTGACGTGCACAGTTACTAATCGAACCCTGGCATGTTTACTGATAATAGAAAAAATGTAACCAAGCACAAAATTTGAAACCGCGTTATCTACTCGTGTGATGATTTTGATATTTTTTATTTTGTTTGTATTGTAGGAATTTATTTTACAGTTATACGATCTATAGTTATTCGATCTATAGTAGTTCCAAATTGCCAAATCAGGGATAAACAAAAGTTTTGTTGAAATTAACATTACTCAATATAGGTGCATATCGTGTCATTTGATTGGTGGTTTACCTCCGGACAAAAACAAAATGTCTTTCCGTTTTATTCGGGTTACAGACAAGCATATTTTTTACTAAACGAAGCTGAGGTTCCGCCAAACACACAGAAAGGCACAACGTTTTGTTTATCAGTGACTAGATGTATTCTTTAAAATTATTTCTAATGAATAAAATTATTATAAGTAATACCATGACTAGCATGACATAAGGGAAATTAGTGAATAAATGCCCCGAAAGCGAGTGAGGTTTCTACAATGTTTCCACAAACCTCCCGAGCCTTCGGGGAATTTAATCACTAATTTCCCTCATGTCCTGTTTGGAATAGTATTATAATTGAGGTACCGACATTTAGTATGCAGATATACGTTGTCTTACATGAACTTCTACCTATTGGACGAAGCATTATGATTAACTTACATGACGCGTACGGTTACTGGGTAAACGCGATATAAACTGCCGTAATAATTGGTTCGCATTTACGGATATTTTTCGATATTTACTATCAATGAGTGAGAACATTTAGATTATACCGTAGTATGAGTAAACAGAGTCGAATTGCCAGAGAGAGCCCATTCTACTTGCCCAGTCAAGATTACTGAGCATATTATGGGAGAGATCCAGCAGAGGGTAACTCGATCTGCCCCTGCGCATAGCATCAGGTCAGGAGTGTCGAACAGGTCCACAATTGTCAGAACTAAACTCGAGCTAGAGTTGAAGCATTTAAAAGAAAAACAGAGACTAGATCAGGAACAGAGAGAGTTACACTTAGAAATGCAAACACACGAAATGGAACAACAGAAGAAACTAGCTGAGCTGGAATAAAGGCGCAGATTGCATGAAGTAGAGGTCAGATTAGCAGAAGCACAAATGCAAGAACAGCTAGAACATGATGAGGATGATCCAGATTCAAGGTTAATTCGAAGTGATGATTATCCAGAAAGGTTGGATCACTTGGAGTAATAGATCGATCATCCTATAGCTACTAGTGGTATGAATGACAATATTGAAACCTCTACGAGGGGTGCTGCAGATATCCAAAGAGTGACAGTAGTTAATCAAACAAGTTTGGAGACTCACAATTAACCATCAACACAGTTACCAAAGACTACCCGAAACGGTGAGATTCCACCACAGCTGAGTCGAATGCAACCATTTGCAAACCACCCTCAGTGTAGTCCACCAATACAAGAAGACCACCACGGAAAGGTGACCGGCAACCGTCATCCCAAGATCGCCTACCATTGGAACCAAACCCACAATTGGAGCAATTACTTTTTTGTTATCGTGCATGAACAATTATTCAATTTACAAGGGCGTCAACCTCCTGCGTTTGCGCCCCGGTATCTCAGTGGACAACACAACCCACAACATTTGGGAAACTCATATCGCCAACACTGTACCATAACCAGAACCCGACGCTATTGCCCATCAGATATTTGAACATCAACAATAAGCCCTCAACCTGATTGCAAGCACAATTGGAACTACCATAAGCAAGGGGTTCGAAATGCGACTAAGAGAGTATATGACCTTTGATGATAATCCGTTGACCTATCATCCGAGCTTCATGGAGAATTTCAAAACTAATGTAGAAGACATTGAGCGCAGCCCTAATGCCAGGCGTACTTTCTGTTCCAACTATGAAGTGGAAAGGCGAAGGAAACTATAAGTGGAACAGTAATGTTACCTGCAGAGGAAGGTTATAATAAAGCCAAGTGTATCTTAATGCACATGAGATGTTTGGACAAATACACATAGTCGCAGCATCCCACATCGATGAAATCACTGGAGGAGGACCAACCAAAGAGAACAAAAACGAAAGATTGATGCAGCTTACGCGAGATATGGAGAATTGCGAGATGAAATTGAACAAACTCGGCTATCAGGCTGATATCAACTCAAGAAGCAACATGAGTGTGCCAAGGAGGCACGAAACTCAAGAGATCGGAGTAAAGAACCAGACTTTGCCAGCTGACTAGATTTGTTGTTAAGAAGGGAAAGCTGGCCAACACTGAATACGGGCGACTCATAAGTGCAAGATACAACAAAGAAAAGGAATTTGGTAAGAGGCCCCGATGGGGCAGAAATGTGTCTACTTACCTTTCACACGGTTCAAACACGGTGATAAAGGAACATTCCGGGGATCATTCACGGCAAGGAAATCCGACGGGAAGACCAAAGTGTATATTTTTTGACAGAGATGGTCACACAATCGAAAAATGCTTTAATTTTCAAGGAAAGCCCTATGAAGAGCGAAAGAGGATCGTAAACACGAGGAGACTGTTCAACCTTTGTCTCAGTAAGGGTCATTTTGCCAGTAACTGCAAGAGGAGTCGTGGCAGTTTTGTTCCAGGATGCGGAAAGCGCCATCATCCAATGCTCCATCCAGAAGAGACTACCAAGGACAGAAAGAAAGACGTGTCCGAAAACCAAAACGAAGAGAGAAAGCTAGGCTCACCCGCATCTCCAACCGGAAATGTTCAGAATGATCACTGCGGTGCCATTTGACCTATCAAGAATCAAGTGTGCTTACGAGTAATTCCTGTAAAGATGTTTGGGAAAGATAGAAGTTGTGGGAAGATAACTTATGCGATAACAGAGAAAGGTTCAAATACCACACTTGTGAGAGAAAGACTAGTCTAGCTCACCACAATGAATAAGGCGTCACAAGAGTCGGGGAGATTTCACTTCTTATACGTTTAAGCTTTGGGCAGAAAGACTGTCTCGAAATTCCAAACGCTTTGTTGGTAAAGTCTTTGTGAAACAAATCATAGTCAAGACCTTTCCCAGAGCAACTATCGCAGACATGAAATATTATGTTAAGCTAACTCTCGAAAGAAATCCCGTGCTTGTTGTGCTACATGTGGGGACAAATGATGTCCAGCGAAAGGAACCTCGGGAAATTGCGATTGATGTAAAAACTCTGTGCAGAAGCATCGTAAAGGATGGACTGACAAGAATTGCCATATCAGAGATTATTCAGAGGCAAGATGAAGATATGAACATTAAAATTAGGAAAACGAACCTTCTTTTGGCTGAGGTTTGTAAAACCCATCGATTGCATTATATTTCCCATGCCAATATCGATGCTTCTTACCTTAATGCATTGAGTTTACATCTTAACGTTAGGGGTACTCAGCCTAGACCTAGGCCTTCTATTTTATTATTTTTTTAATATTCAGTGCTTTTTCACATGGAAAGACTGGGACTAGGTGATTTGGGGGCGGGGCGGAGGATGAGCGATAAAATAAAATGCCTAGTGAATTTCCCAACAACAAGGCCAAAACTGCCCTGAAACTGCCCTGGTTGCGAAATGCCCAATTATTGCGTTCTCAAACAGAATTATTTGCAACTTAACAGCGAATTTAAACCGATACAGGTAAAATAAACTCATTTATAGTATAACTTACTATTTTATTTGTATACACGCCTAGAAAATCGGGGTTTTTATCATAAAGTTTGAAGCTACACTATTATTATGTTGCGAAAGGTCAAAATGAGTCAAAATATTACTACAAAATTGAACTTAGTTTCGTCATAAAATGTTTTTATAGTTAATGTAATAACTACTGGACAGTATAAATTGCTTTAGTTGTTGGTTTCTGATCAATTTCGGATCACAAAGTTATGGGGCTAATTTGAGAACTTGTGAAATCTACTAGGCCTCTACGAGGCAAATGACCATTGCGATAATTACCAGCCGAGTAAAGGCCTAGGTCTAGGCTGAGGGGTACTATAGTATTGGCAAAGAATTACGTAGATTTCCTAAATAATTGACTAGACCTTCCTCAAATAAACATTTTTGACTACCTTTATCATAGTTCTAATATTTCTGACATACCCAAGTAGATAGAGAAAAAGAGGAAAATCAGGTATCTACTAACCTAGCTCTAATGACTCATTAATGCCAAAAGTTGGAGGTTTCAAGACCAGCCTACCTAAACATATAGATGAATCAAGAATTGTATTAAATAACAATGACATTAATGTTCTAGCGATTAACGAATCTAGAATGGATAGCACTATACCAGATGATGTAATATCGGTATACGGTTTTTCTTGGGTTGGCAAACATAGAAATATATCTGGTGGTGGTGTTGGCTTCTTCATACGAGATACAATCAATTATCGTATTAGGTCTGATCTTAATGATACAGATATTGAAATTTTAACAATTAAAATTTTCAAAAATAAAAAAAAAAATTAATAACAACATAGTATAGGCATCCGAATGACTCCATGGACACGCTATATAAATTCGAAAACTGCCTTAGATTGATTGATAATGTAGATAAAGAGAGTATAATTGTTGGAGATGTCAATTTAGATATCTTAAGCAGTGATCCGACACACCTTGTTTCTGAGATGGATTTCATTACTAAACTTTTTATCAGTACGAGCATGCAGTTAATAAAAGATCCTACAAGAGTAACTAAGGATAGCGCATCCCTAATTGATCACTTTTATAAACAAAACCAGATTGCATTACCTCTAGCGGAGTAAGAATTATTACTATTAGCAATCACTACTTAATTTATGGTGTTCGCAAGTTTCAGGTAACTAAACAGTCGCCTCGAATTATAGAGTATCGATATTTTAAGCAATTTAATGAAACAACATTTTCGTTTCCGGACTGAACTCCTCTTTAAATAAAGAAATAATATTTGTTGGTGACTTTAATGATAAAAAGTCGCTTATAGATATCACGAACGAATTCCAATTTAAGCAATTCATAGATGAGCCAACTAGAATCACCGAATCGACTAGTTCAACAATTGACCTTGCATTTAGTAATAGGCTTGAGATTATTATTAGATCTGGTGTAGATCAAATAGGTGGAGCGTGTAAACCAGCGATAAGTAAAAATTTTGTTTTCCAATCATTCCACACATAATTGGGGTCGCCTTTACCATATTGCTCAAATTGAAACATTTGGTTTTAATCGAACCTAAATGCTTCTTTATCATAGTTCTTATATTGCCTTGTATTTATAATTTTTGCATCTTTTCGAGGAATTGAAGTTTTTCTGCACACATAAATCTAACCTGAGTATCAGGCCCTCGGTATTGAAAGAGGGCCTGACACAATTCGCCTCTAAAGCCATGTTCAACATCCAGAATCTGGATGTTATGCTGATTGGCTAAGAGACGATAAAACGCATCATGTGATTCAAACCGGAAATATATGACCGGCGTATGTAAACACCAAAAATAGAATTTGTAATTTTGTCAATATACTGATAAAGTGCTTTATTTCTGAAATTTATTTTCAATTAATTAAGCCTAAAAATGACAAAATAAGTACGAAAAGACGTTGAAAACGCTTTTGCAGCAACATTTTACTCGGTATAAAACTAATACTACATAGTCATAGTAGACAGCGTGTCTAAATATCTCGCCGTAATAGTCGCCGTAGAACGAAAATATGTGGATGTCGGAAATTTTCAAATATTTAGTTCCAAAAAGCTGAAGCCTTATTTATCAGTTTATTGCCGAGCTGTTTTCCAAGACCTGCAAGGATATAGTAGTCAGCTCGCTCGAACTAATATGCCAACATCAGGCAGAAATTGAAGACAATAGCCGCTGTGTCAGACGCAGTTGAAGCGAATAGCTGTCTCGAATAAACTATTAACATGACACGAGGACCGAGGAAGAAGAAATCCTATTCAGAGCGCCGAATGTTGTCTCTTTACACTCCTGGAAAAAGCCATCGGGCTATGGTTCCCCGAATGAGGCATAATTTACGCTTAGAATTCCATCATGTGGTTAATTCGACAAAAACATACCGATTTTTCTCCGTATTTATTCAAATTTATACAAAACTGCAAATAACGAAATTTGCGTATTTACATACCTGTAGCGGACAACCGGAAATATGCTACAACCGGAAATAATTTTAATTGGCTGATATTCTGGGGGTGGAAAGCCCGTAGAGGCGAATTGTGTCAGGCTCTCTTCAATACCGAGGGCCTGATACTCAGGTTAACATAAATCAAACAATGGTCACTGATACCTATGTCTCGTAAAGTGAGGAGTGAATATGCCCCCTGGATTACTGACACAATTAAGAAGAGTATATATTATAGAGATTTCCTTGAAAGAAAAGCTGTCAAAACAGGGTCTAAATATATGCATGAGGCTTATAAAAGGGAAAAGAATCGTGTTAATAGATTAATTAAACATACTAAAGCTAATTATTATAGAGGAGAATTGAACAAACATAACAATAATCCTAAAGAGGTGTGGAATACAGTCAATAAGTTGATTAACAAAAACTCCAAAACAACCAGTGAGTGTAACTGAACTTAAGATTAATGACGAAACTATTTCTAAACCGCAAGATATAGCCGAAGCTTTTAATACCTTCTTTTGTGAAGTAGGACCAAACCTGGCGAAAAAATTACCAAACAGTAATATTTGACCGGAGAGTTACATAAGGCAAAAGGAATCTAAATTCGAACTCCGATATCAGTAGAACAGGTCTATAAGCTATTATCAACTAATAAGGTGTCCAAAGCAGCTGAGCATGATAAAATATCTCACAAACTATTGCAGGATGCTGCTGATGTCATAGTTCATTCTTTAACTGCAATTTTTAATCTGTCTATTGAAACTGGAGTTTTCGCAGAGGATTTAAAAACTGCAGTTGTCTCACCTATCTATAAGACAGGGGATAAATCGGAATGTACAAACTACAGACCAATATCGGTGCTTTCTGCGGTTGCTAAACGTTTGAAAGATTAATTTCCAATCAATTCTATAAATATCTAGAAACAAACAATATATTGTCTCAACAACAGGCAGGCTTTAGAAAAAATTATTCAACCCAAACTTCATTACTTAATGTAACAAACAAGTGGTTAATTAATATGGAAAAGGGATACCTAAATGGTGTAGTTTTTCTGGATCTTAAGAAAGCATTTGACTGACTGTGTGGATCATAAAATCTTGGCTAAAAAATTATTATTTTATGGATGCACTGACCGTACACTGAAGTGGTTTAGGTCCTACTTAAATGATAGATCACAGATGAGTAAAATTGACCAGTGTTTATCAGCCAAAAAAAAGATTCAATGTGGCGTACCGCAGGGTTCCACTCTCGGGCCGTTACTTTTCCTAATCTATACAAATGATTTACCAAATTGTTTAACACATTCGTCTGCGAGTTTATTTGCAGATGATACCAGCATAACAGCTGAGGGAATTTCGATTGACGAGATTGAAGATAAGCTCTGTACTGATTTAGAGAATATGCGCCAGTGGTTGTTGGCCAATAAACGGACTTTAAATATGGATAAAACTGAATATATGGTAATAGGATCTAAGCAAAAAATATTAAATACCCAGCAAGAGACTGCAATTAAAATGCAAGATAAACGCCCGTATTCTAAAAGCTCACTCACACTCACACTCAATGAATGGAGGTTCAATCTAAGCTTCTCTTGAGTGTCAATGCTGTTTTTGAATAGCTGGAGCGTGAGTGGTCACCGAGTAAGGTATGACACTAGCCCTCCAGCTGTTCAAAAACAGCATTAACACTCAAGAAAAGCTCAGATTGAACTCAATCAGTGTGAGTGTGAGTGAGCTTTTAGAATACGGGTGAAAGAGTTGAAACAAGTAAATTTTACAAAAACCCAAGTTATAATTGTAAATGAAAACCTTTCATGGAAAGAGCAAATTTCAAATATTATTACTAAAGTATCCCAAGGCGAGCCATTATTGCGTAGAATAAAAAAGTTTCAACAGACTATGATTAATGTGTAAAATGTTATTAATGTGATTAAATTTTTAAATTCCGTGATCCTCCCCTATTTTGACTATTGTAGCATGGTGTGGGAAAACTGTGGAAATTGTTTGCTTCAAAGACTACTATAAATGCAAAACAGAGCAGCAAGAGTAATTACCGGAAAGTCATATGAAGTAAGATCTAGTGAAATATTAAACATTAGAAAAGCGAAGGAAGTGTAATAAAGCCATATTTATGTATAAAATCAAACACACCAATGAACCTCCGAAATGTATGGCCAACCTTTTTAATGTGAAAAACAACACTAGGTATAACCTTCGTAGTAACAATATCGATTTCTTACTGAAATGCCAAGAACTATAATATGATGAAAGAGGTATAAGTTATTCAGCTGCAAGCTTATGGAATCGATTGCCTGGGTTTGCGAAGTTGAGTAGTGTTCCACTACATAGATTTAAAGCTATTCTCCGGAACAGTTTAACTTAACTTGATTATATGACTTGTAAATAGTTGGAAAGTGTGTAAATCCAGATTCGAGAGGAATTAGATTTGAAGTTCGAGTCGGTTCTATTCTGGACAGATTCAACGTGTGTCTGGCAGTATATCAATAACGAGGCTAGCCGCTTCAAACCGTTCGTCGAGAACCCAATTGCCATCATTCACGAAAATTCGAATCCGTCACAGTGGCGATACGTCAACTCGAAAGTTAACCAGGCAGATTTTGCATCCAGAGGCTAACGACCAAGTGACGAGCACAAGATAAATCTTTGGATAAACGAGCCGGAATTCCTGCATAATGATGAATCTAACTGGCCAGCAAGGGAATGAAGAATGACTGTCCAGAAGGGATGAATGTTTTGTCGGACGAATGTCTGTAATGGATGCGCGAATTCGAAGTCGAAATTTACGAGACGCAAGTTCCCAAAGGAGACACGCTAGCTAGATTCCATTATCCAATACTATTCCTCATGGTACCGCCTGCTTAAAGAGATAGCGTGGCTCATGCGGTTCCTCCATTTCGTACAAGATACTTGGGGAAAAAAAAGAAAAATAAGAAAAAAAAGAAAAGTTGCCCACAAGTATATCCGACGTCCGAAAGTTCGAACTCTTAATTTGAAACACCGTAGGATCATTGGGTCCGGAGAACAGCCTTTGACCGTCGAAGAATTGCAGACGGCAAAGAGACGCCTCATCCTTTACGTTTATCGCGTAGCATTTTCCGACGAAGTCGGTTGCCTGAAACCAAAACCAAAAGGCTCCCACAGAACCGGTCCAATCGTAAAGAAATCGAGCAGATTGTCGGCACTGTCACCATTTATGGGAGAATATGGCTTGGTGAGTGTTTGCGGTCGGTTAAATCGAGAGAAGATAAGTTTCGACGCGAAGCATCCAGTCGTGATTCCCAGCCAGCGCCGCCTTTTCGATTTATTGATACGGCATTACCGTCCTTACAGCAATCCAACAAGAGTATTGGATCCTCCAAAGGCGATATAGAATTAAGTAGATTATCGATAAGTGCATTCGCTGTTGTAAAATGTATGCATCACCGTGCGAGCAGATCATGCCTCCACTTCCCACGCCGCGTGTCACTGCCTGGGAAAATCCGTTTGTATCAACTGGAGTGAACTATTTTGGACCTCTCTTCGTCAAAAGAGATCGCAGCATGGCTAAGAGATGTGGTGTGTCTTTATGTATATGTCAACACGCGCGGTTCACATCGAAGTGGCGCATTCCCTCGACGCAGAGTCCTTTCTGTGTGCCTTCAGCCGTTTTACGGCGCGCCGAGGTGTCCTTACGGATATGCATATGTACAGCGACAACGGGACAAACTTTGTCGGAGCCTCCGGTATATATTGAAAGATGAATTCAAGAACATCCGGTCGGACGAAGAGCAGTTGAAGATTTACGACCAATTGAGAATGAAAGGTATGACATGGCACTTCAATCCACCATCAGCGAGCCACACTGGTGGAGTATGGGAGCGAGTTATACGTTCCATCCGACGGATTTTGGCTTCTCTGACGACCGAACAAACACTCGATGATGAGACACTAGTCTGGTAACCTTGTTAGTATAAGGGTAGAGAGAATACTCAATGATCGACCGCTTGTACGTGGTGAAGGTCAACTCGACGACTTAGACCTGTTAACCCCGAGTAACTTGTTACTACTGAGATCTAACTCGTATTTACCGCGCGGTGTATTCGTGGGTGCGAATCGTTTCGGCAGACGATGGAGGCAAGCTCAGTAAGTGTTACCGAAAAGCGTTGGATTAGTAAATATTTATCCACGTTACAACTGCGGCGGAAATAGCGGAAACAAGCAAGAAATATTCAAGTAAAGGATCTCGTGTTATTGGTCGATAGTGGATGCTCGCGCAGACAGTGGCCAATGGCAATTGTGGAAGAAGTTTTCCGGATAAACATGAAACCGTTCGTCAAGTTATTATTCGAATCAGAAGTGGAAAGTTCAGGAGAGATGTGCAAAAGTTGTATGTGTTGGATGAGACAAAGATAGACGGTGATCAATAAGTGCTGCAAACTATCTTACTTAATTAAACCTTTTCAGATTATTTTATCTAGATCCTCTTTGTAGTATCGCGTTAGTCGATAGGGGCCGGTGTAGGATCTAGTTAGGCCAAGCCCGAATTTAGGGTAGTAATTTTTTTGTATTGTATCAATTCTCCAGTTATTCGATCTATACTTATACAAAGCTTGTAATAAATTGAACTCGTATAAGGAAGCCGGGGAAGCGTAGCGACGTGGAAGAGTTGGAATGGTAAAGGTGGTTGTTACTCGTTATAGAAACTTGGATTGTGGGGAGATCGAAGGCGAAGGTAGCAATGTCTAGCCGATGACGGAGCATCAGGTGTACCAAACTCTGGTGATTCTTATATTAGTTGTATTTAGTTTAGCACTCATTCCAATATTCCTACTAAGTTTTCTTGCATTGTCACGGTTAATCTGGGATGATAGCTCCCACGTTGACGACTCGAAACCTCACACCGAGTCAAAGGCGGATTAGGCCGTTCTGCGAGCTCGGGACAAGGTTCTTAATTCCTTCCAGCTACTTATTTCCGGGCTGAAGGGAAGCATAACGGCGTGAAAAGTAAAAAATATTCTGTCGCATATCTTCAATGGTATCGTATATTGTAATCGCATGTAGGAAGATCATGATTGGCTATAATAAAAATAGTGTTCTACCTTGTGACGACACAGTTGAAGCAGTTGAAGTTTCTGTTGACGTGGCAGCAGTTGGATCAACAACAGGAGCTGGTATTGGCGAGATACCCTTCTCGTCTAAAACGAGTGATTTTGAATATGGGAATTTTTTTGAAATTTCATCAAGTTTGTTTCTTTCTAATCATAATGAATGGGAAAATATACAAATTAAGCTATTTTTTCTTAATACCAACGCTATAATTCCTATAAAGTACATATGCATTGCAGAAGTATGGATAGTTGACACGCGCAATTAATAATCGATCCTGTCATGTTTAATAATAGAACAAATGTAACCAACAACAAAATTTGTAACTGATTTATCTACTCGTGTGATGATTTTGACATTTTAGTAATTTTTTTGTATTGTATGAATTCTACAGTTATTCGATCTATAGTTATACAAAGCTTGTGCTACATCGCGCTCGTATAAGGAGGGCGGGCAAGCGTAGCGGCGTGGAAGAGTTGGAATGGTAAAGGTGGTACGGTGGTTCCTTGTTATAGAAACTTGGATTGTGTTTAGAAGGCGAAGGCTATACAGTACATATACATTGCAGAACTATATGGATAATTGACACGCACATGCAGTTAATAATCCATCTCTGTCATGTTGAATAATAGAACAAATGTAATCAAGCACAAAATTTGCAACCGAGTTATCTACTTTACATTTTGTTAATTTTTTTGTATTGTATGAATTCTACAGTTATTCGATCTATATATAGTTATACAAAGCTTGTGGTAAACTGCACTCGTATAAAGAGGGCGGGGGAGCGTAGCGACGTGGAAGAGATGGAATGGTAAAGGTGGTGGTTCCTTGTTATAGAAACTTGGATTGTGAGGAGAAGGCGAAGGTAGAAATGCCCAGCCGATGACGGAGCATCAGGAATACCAAACTCTGTGTGATTCTTATATTAGTTGTATTTAGTTTGGCACTTATTCCAATTTTTCTTTTAAGTTTTATTGCATTGTCACGGTTAATCTGAGATGGTAGGGCCCACGTCGACGACTTGAAACGTCACCCGGAGCCAAAGGCGGCTTAAGCCGTTCTGGGCCCTCGGAACAAGGTTTTTAAATCTTTCCGGATATTTATTTCCGGGTTCAAGGGAAGCATAACGGCGTGGAAAGTAAAAATTCTGTCGCATATCATCAATGGTATCGTACATTGTAATCGCATGTAGGAAGATCATGATTGGCTATTATAAAAATTATGTTCTACCTTGTGACGACACAGTTAAAGAATTTGAAGTTTCTGTTGACGTGGCAGCAGTTGGATCAACAACAGTAGCCGGTGTTGGCGAGATATCTTTCGGTGCTAAAACAAATTATGTAAAATATGGGAAATTTTTAAAAGTTCATCAAGTTTGTTTTTTTCTAGTCATAGTGGATTGGTAAATATACAAATTAGGCTATATTTTCTTAATACCACCGCTATACAGTACTTATGTATTGCAGAACTTGGGATAATTGACATGCACAGTTATTAATCGAGCCCTGGCATGTTCAATAATAGAACAAATGTAGCCAAGCACAAAATTAGTAGTCGAGTTATCTACTCGTGTGATGGTTTTGATATTTTGTTAATTTTTTTTTGTATTGTATGAATTCTGCAGTTATTCCATCTATAGTTATACAAAGCTTGGGCTGAATTGCACTCGCATAAGGAAGACGGGAAACCGTAGCGATGTTGACGAGTTGGAATGGTAAAGGTGGTGGTTACTCGTTAAAGAAACTTGGGTTGTGGGAAGAAGGCGAAGGTAGCAATGTCTAGCCGATGACGGAGCATCAGGTGTACCAAACTCTGTGTGATTCTTATATTAGTTGTATTTAATTTAGCACTTATTCCAATTTTTCTTTTAAGTTTTCTTGCATGGTCTCGGTTAATCTGAGATGGTAGCGCCCATGTCGACGACTTGAAACGTCTCACCAGGCCAAAGGCGGCTTAGGCCATTCTTGGCCCTCTGGACAAGGTTCTTAATTCCTTCCGGCTATTTATTTACGGGTTGAAGGGAAGCATAACGGCGAGGAAAGTAAAAATTCTGTCGCATATCATCAATGGTATAGTACATTGTAATCCCATTTAGGAAGATCATGATTGGCTATTATAAAAATTATGTTCTACCTTGTGACGACACAGTTGAAGAATTTGAAGTTTCTGCTGACGTGGCAGCATTTGGATCAACAACAGTAGCCGGTGTTGGCGAGATATCTTTCGGTGCTAAAACAAATGATGTAAAATATGGGAAATTTTAAAACATATATGCATTGCAGAACTTTGGATAATTGACATGCACAGCTCGTAATCGAGCCCTGGCATGTTTAATAATAGAACAAATGTAACCAAGCACAAAATTTGTAACTGAGTTATCTACTCGTGTGATGGTCTTGACATTTTGTTAATTTTTTTTGTGTCCTATGAATTGTACAGTTATTCGCGATCGATCTATAGTTTTACAAACTTGTGCTAAATAGGACTCGCAAAAGGAAGCTGGGGAAGCTTTGCAACGTGGATGAGTTGGAATGGCAAAGGTGGTGTTTACTTGCTATAGAAACTTGGGTTGTAAGAAGAAACCGAAGGTAGCAATGCCCAGCCGATGACGGAGATCAGGAATACCAAACTCTGTGTGATTCTTATGTTATTGGAATTTAGTTTAGCACTTATTTCAATTTTTCTTTTAAGTTTTCTTCCATTCTCACGATTAATCAGGGATGCCAGCGCCCACGTCAACGTCTTGAATCGTCACGCCGATCCAAAGGCGGGCTAGAGCTGTTCTGAGCCCTTCGGACAAGGTTCTTAATTCCTTCCAGCTATTGTCGTTCGGGTTGAAGGGAGCTATAACGGCGTGAAAAGTCAAAAACGCTGTGGCATATCTTCTATGGTATCGTACATTGTAATCGCATGTAGGAAGATCATGATTGGCTATAATTAAAATTATGTTCTACCTTGTGATGACACAGTTGAAGCAGTTAAACTTTGTGTTAACGTAGCAGCAGTTGGATCAACAAGAGTAGCTGTTGTTGGCGAGATATCTTTCGGTGCTAAAACAAATGATGTAAAATATGGGAATTTTTTTAAAAATTCATCAAGGTTGTTTCTCTCTAATCATAATGAATGGGTAAATATACAAATTAGGCTAATTTTTCTTAATACCACCGCTATACAGTACATATGTATAGCAGAACTTTGCATAATTGACATGCACAGTTACTAATCGAGCCTTCGCATGTTTAATAATAGAACAAATGTAACCAAGCCCAAAATTTGTAACCGAGTTATCTACTCGTGTGATGGTTTTGTCATTTTGTTAATTTTTTTTTGTATTGTATGAATTGTACAGCTACTCGATCTATAGTTGTACAAACTTGTGCTAAATTGGACTCGTAAAATTAAGCCGGGGAAGCGTAGCAACGTGGAAGAGTTGGAATGGCAAAGGTGGTGGTTACTTGCTATAGAAACTTGGGTTGTGGAAAGAAGGCGAATGTAGCAATGCCTAGCCGATGACGGAGATTCAAGAATACCAACTTCGGAGATTCAAGAATACCAAACTCTGTGTGATTCTTATGTTATTGGAATTTAGTTTAGCACTTATTTCAATTTTTCTTTTAAGTTTTCTTCCATTCTCACGATTAATCAGGGATGGCAGCGCCCATGTCAACGTCTTGAATCGCCACGCCGATCCAAAGGCGGGCTAGAGCTGTTTTGGGCTCGTGGGCCAAGGTTCTTAATTCCTTCCGGCTATTTACATCCGAATTGAATGGAAGCATAACGGTGTGAAAAGTAAAAAAATTCTGTCGTATATCTTCAATGGTATCGTGCATTGTATTCGCATGTAGGAAGATCATGATTGGCTATAATAAAAATTATATTCTACCTTGTGACGACACAGTTGAAGAATTTGAAGTTTCTGTTGACGTGGCAGCAGTTGGATCAACAACAGTAGCTGGTGTTGGCGAGATATCTTTCGATGCTAAAACAAATGATGTAAAATATGGGAAATTTTTAAAAGTTCATCAAGTTTGTTTCTTTCTAGTCATAGTGGATTGGTAAATATACAAATTAGGCTATATTTTCTTAATACCACCGCTATACAGTACATATGCATTGCAGAACTTTGGATAATTGACATGCACAGTTACTAATCGAGCCCTGGCATGTTCAATAATAGAACAAATGTAACCAAGGACAAAATTGTAACCGAGTTATCTACTCGTGTGATGGTTTTGTCGTTTTGTTAATTTTTTTTGTATTGTATAAATTGTACAGTTATTCGATCTATAGTTGTACAAACTTGTGCTAAATTTGACTCGTTAAAGGAAGCCGGGGAAGCGTAGCAACGTGGAAGAGTTGGAGTGGCAAAGGTGATGGTTACTTGCTATAGAACCTTGGGTTGTGGAAAGAAGGCGAAGGTAGCAATGCCTAGCCGATGATGGAGACACAAGAATACCAACCTCTGTGTGATTCTTATATTAGTTGTATTTAATTTAGCACTTATTTCAATTTTTCTTTCAAGTTTTCTTGCACATCAACCTCTTGAAACGTCACGCCGATCCAAAGGCTGGCTAGAGCTGTTTTTTCGTATATCTTCAATGGTATTGTGCATTGTATTCGCATGTAGGAATATCACGATTCGCTATAATAAAAATTATGTTTTACCTTGTGACGACACAGTCGAAGAATTTGAAGTTTCTGTTGACGTGGTAGCAGTTGGATCAACAACAGTAGCTGGGGTTGGCGAGATATCTTTCGGTGCTAAAACGAATGATGTAAAATATGGGAAATTTTTAAAAGTTCTGCAGCAAGTTTGTTTCTTTCTAGTCATAGTGTATTGGTAAATATACAAATTAGGCTATAATTTCTTAATACCACCGCCATACAGTACATATGCATTGCAGAACTTTGGATAATTGACATGCACAGTTAATAATCGATCCCTGACTTGTTTAATAATAGAACAAATGTAACCAAGCACAATATTTGTAACCGAGTTATCTACTCGTGTGCTGGTTTTCGTATTTTGTTAATTTTTTTGTATTTTATGAATTCTACAGTTGTTCGATCTATAGTTATACAAAGCTTGTGCTAAATTGAACTCGTATAAGGAAGGCAGGCATGCGTTGCGACGTGGACGAGTTGGAATGGTAAAGGTGGTCGTTACTCGTTATAGAAACTTGTGTTGTGGGAAGAAGGCGAAGGTAGCAATGCCTAGCCGATGACGGAGATTCAAGAATACCAAGCTCTGTGTGATTCTTATATTAGTTGTATTTAATTTAGCACTTATTTCAATTTTTCTTTTAAGTTTTCTTGTACGTCAACCTCTTGAAACGTCACGCCGATCCAAAGGCGGGCTAGAGCTGTTTTGTCGTATATCTTCAATGGTATCGTGCATTGTATTCGCATGTAGGAAGATCACGATTCGCTATAATAAAAATTATGTTCTACCTTGTGACGTCACAGTCGAAGAATTTGAAGTTTCTGTTGACGTGGCAGCAGTTGGATCAACAACAGTAGCTGGTGTTGGCGAGATATCTTTCGGTGCTAAAACAAATTAAATGATGTAAAATATGGGAAATTTTTAAAAGTTCAGCAAGTTAATTTCTTTCTAGTCATAGTGGATTGGTAAATATACAAATTAGGCTATATTTTCTTAATACCACCGCCATACAGTACATATGCATTGCAGAACTTTGGATAATTGACATGCACAGTTAATAATCGATCCCTGACTTGTTTAATAATAGAACAAATGTAACCAAGCACAATATTTGTAACCGAGTTATCTACTCGTGTGCTGGTTTTCGTATTTTGTTAATTTTTTTGTATTTTATGAATTCTACAGTTGTTCGATCTATAGTTATACAAAGCTTGTGCTAAATTGAACTCGTATAAGGAAGGCAGGCATGCGTTGCGACGTGGACGAGTTGGAATGGTAAAGGTGGTCGTTACTCGTTATAGAAACTTGTGTTGTGGGAAGAAGGCGAAGGTAGCAATGTCTAGCCGATGACGGAGCATCAGGGGTACCAAACTCTTTGTGATTCTTATATTAATTGTATTTAGTTTGGCACTTATTCCAATTTTTCTTTTAAGATTTCTTGCATTGTCACGGTTAATCTGGGATGGTAGCGCCCACGTCGACGACTTGAAACGTCTCACCTGGCCAAAGGCGGCTTAGGTCATTCTTGGTCCTCAGGACAAGGTTCTTAATTCCTTCCGGCTATTTATTTCCGGGTTGAAGGGAAGCATAACGGCGTGAAAAGCCAAAAATACTGTCGCATATCTTCAATGGTATCGTACATTGTAATCGCATGGAGGAAGATCATATGCATGCTTGGCTATAATTAAAATTATGTCCTACCTTGTGACGACGACACAGTTGAAGCAGTTGAAGTTTCTGTTGACGTGGCAGCAGTTGAATCAACAACAGGGGCTGTTGCTGGCGAGATATTTTTCGGTGCTAAAACGGATGATGTAGAATGTGTGAAATTTTTGTAATTTCATCAAGATTGTTTCTCTCTAATCATAATGAATCAGAGAATATAGAAATTAGGCTAATTTTTCGTATGGGATGGTAGCGCCCAAGTTGACGACTTGAAACGTGACACCGAGCCAAGGGCGGGCTAGATTTTTTCTGGACAAGGTTCTTAATTCCTTCCGGCTATTTATTTCCGGATTGAAGGGAAGCATAACTACGTGAAAAGTCAATAATTCATTAATTTTGTCGCATATTCTTAAAGGTATCGCGCATCGTAATCGCATGTTGGAAGATCACAATTGGCTAAAATAAGAATTATGTTCTACCGTGTAACGTCACATTTGAAGCAGTTAAAATTTGTGTCGACGTTGGAGCAGTTGGATCTGCAGCTGGTGTTGGCGGGATGTCTTTCGGTGCTAAAACGAATAATGTAAAATATGGGAAATTTTTGAAATTTCATCAAGGTTGTTTCTCTGATCTGTTATCATAGTGAATGGGTAAATGTACAGATTAGGCTAATTTTTCTTAATATTACCGCTATATATTTCCTATGCATTGCAGACCTTTGGTTAATTGACATGCACAACAGGCCGCCCAGCCGTGTACGTATTAGTATATAGTAAATATGTAATTATAGAATATACTACACAGTAAAATTTGTAATGTATATTTTAAAATTATATCTACTTGGCTAATTTGCTTGTGTTTGATCATCTTTTATTTTTGGGCGACTTTACACTGTGTGCCTGCGACTGTCATCGTAGGCGATAGGAATCGATGCAAAGGTTAACGATTCCCGTTCTCAAATCGGCGACACGAATACTTCAATCGGGAATGGATTTTTAACAAAATGTTTCGAAACCCAAATTCTATGGAACTTAGAAAGCCCGATAATTACTGCCGTGTCTGCTTGACGACCTAGCCTCATTTACTGTTTGGGTTGTCAGGGGGGAGGTTGTCAACCACAATGCATTATGCGCTCAAACCTGCATGGCGGACGTTTTATAAAGGTGGCATAACAGATTTTTCGGAAAGATATCTCGCCAACACCAGCTACTGTTGTTGATCCAACTGCTGCCACGTCAACAGAAACTTCAAATTCTTCGACTGTGACGTCACAAGGTAGAACATAATTTTTATTATAGCGAATCGTGATCTTCCTACATGCGAATACAATGCACGATACCATTGAAGATATACGACAAAACAGCTCTAGCCCGCCTTTAGATCGGCGTGACGTTTCAAGAGGTTGACGTACAAGAAAACTTAAAAGAAAAATTGAAATAAGTGCTAAATTAAATACAACTAATATAAGAATCACACAGAGCTTGGTATTCTTGAATCTCCGTCATCGGCTAGGCATTGCTACCTTCGCCTTCTTCCCACAACACAAGTTTCTATAACGAGTAACGACCACCTTTACCATTCCAACTCGTCCACGTCGCAACGCATGCCTGCCTTCCTTATACGAGTTCAATTTAGCACAAGCTTTGTATAACTATAGATCGAACAACTGTAGAATTCATAAAATACAAAAAAATTAACAAAATACGAAAACCAGCACACGAGTAGATAACTCGGTTACAAATATTGTGCTTGGTTACATTTGTTCTATTATTAAACAAGTCAGGGATCGATTATTAACTGTGCATGTCAATTATCCAAAGTTCTGCAATGCATATGTACTGTATGGCGGTGGTATTAAGAAATTATAGCCTAATTTGTATATTTACCAATACACTATGACTAGAAAGAAACAAACTTGCTGCAGAACTTTTAAAAATTTCCCATATTTTACATCATTCGTTTTAGCACCGAAAGATATCTCGCCAACCCCAGCTACTGTTGTTGATCCAACTGCTACCACGTCAACAGAAACTTCAAATTCTTCGACTGTGTCGTCACAAGGTAAAACATAATTTTTATTATAGCGAATCGTGATATTCCTACATGCGAATACAATGCACAATACCATTGAAGATATACGAAAAAACAGCTCTAGCCAGCCTTTGGATCGGCGTGACGTTTCAAGAGGTTGATGTGCAAGAAAACTTGAAAGAAAAATTGAAATAAGTGCTAAATTAAATACAACTAATATAAGAATCACACAGAGGTTGGTATTCTTGTGTCTCCATCATCGGCTAGGCATTGCTACCTTCGCCTTCTTTCCACAACCCAAGGTTCTATAGCAAGTAACCATCACCTTTGCCACTCCAACTCTTCCACGTTGCTACGCTTCCCCGGCTTCCTTTAACGAGTCAAATTTAGCACAAGTTTGTACAACTATAGATCGAATAACTGTACAATTCATACAATACAAAAAAAATTAACAAAATGACAAAACCATCACACGAGTAGATAACTCGGTTACAATTTTGTGCTTGGTTACATTTGTTCTATTATTGAACATGCCAGGGCTCGATTAGTAACTGTGCATGTCAATTATCCTAAGTTCTGCAATGCATATGTACTGTATAGCGGTGGTATTAAGAAAATATAGCCTAATTTGTATATTTACCAATCCACTATGACTAGAAAGAAACAAACTTGATGAACTTTTAAAAAATTCCCATATTTTACATCATTTGTTTTAGCATCGAAAGATATCTCGCCAACACCAGCTACTGTTGTTGATCCAACTGCTGCCACGTCAACAGAAACTTCAAATTCTTCAACTGTGTCGTCACAAGGTAGAACATAATTTTTATTATAGCCAATCATGATCTTCCTACATGCGAATACAATGCACGATACCATTGAAGATATACGACAGAATTTTTTTACTTTTCACACCGTTATGCTTCCATTCAATTCGGATGTAAATAGCCGGAAGGAATTAAGAACCTTGGCCCACGAGCCCAAAACAGCTCTAGCCCGCCTTTGGATCGGCGTGGCGATTCAAGACGTTGACATGGGCGCTGCCATCCCTGATTAATCGTGAGAATGGAAGAAAACTTAAAAGAAAAATTGAAATAAGTGCTAAACTAAATTCCAATAACATAAGAATCACACAGAGTTTGGTATTCTTGAATCTCCGAAGTTGGTATTCTTGAATCTCCGTCATCGGCTAGGCATTGCTACATTCGCCTTCTTTCCACAACCCAAGTTTCTATAGCAAGTAACCACCACCTTTGCCATTCCAACTCTTCCACGTTGCTACGCTTCCCCGGCTTAATTTTACGAGTCCAATTTAGCACAAGTTTGTACAACTATAGATCGAGTAGCTGTACAATTCATACAATACAAAAAAAAATTAACAAAATGACAAAACCATCACACGAGTAGATAACTCGGTTACAAATTTTGGGCTTGGTTACATTTCCAACAAGTTAATAAATCCAGAACTCTGGGAATAACAATTGATCAGCATTTATCTTGGAAGCCTAATACCGAAAATATTTGCAAAAAAATAACATCAGGAAACGTCGTACGTGTCAAACCATTTAATGCTGAAAGAGATACACTTATCTCCATATACAATCCCATCGTACGTCCCTACTTTGATTATTGTTCTGAAGTTTGGGATGTATTTGGGGAAATACAATCTAAAAGACTACGAAAGCTCCAAAACTGAGCTGCTCGAACTATTTCAAATATGTGCAATGATGTAGATCATTCTATTGCTTTATATGCCTCAGGCTGGAAGCCACTTGATATCATGAGAAAAAAGGCAAAAGCAACAATGATGTACAAAACTCAAAATGGGATAGGCCCCGAATCTCTCACAAACATCTTTACTTATAAAAATGAGATAAAAAATTATAGACTCCGAAGTATTTCAAGTGGTCTTTGTCTGCCACAACCACGGACCAATAGCATGAAAACTAGTTTCATGTATGATGGTGCTAAGCTATGGAACTCTATTCCAAATGAAATTAGGGAAAGCAAATCTCTGTCATGCTTTCAAAAAAATATTGCTGCTCATATTTTCTAAACAAATATACTAATAGTTCCACGATTCGTAAATAACTATTATACTATTTCTATACTATTTGTACTACTTAATACTATTTCTACTATTTGTAAATAACTATTCATGTAACTATGTTTATACATCTGTAATTTCTTTCCTACTACTGTAATTTTCTTCTTACACGCCCCCTGTCGAAATCAGCTTCGGTTGACAGGGTTAGCGTGGATAAATAAAGTTTTTCTATCTTTCTATCTACATCAACAGACATTCAATCAAACCATCCACCAAGCATTACAAGACAATAATTATACGGCTATCAACAAACGTATTGCACTTCTCTCATCGGACGTACAAACATTTAAGGAATCTACGCCTATTTACCAGACACAGTAACTTTGATCACGAATTTACGTACACTCAGAATACATCTCAACGGACACGTAGGAATAGGCAACGCAACATAATTTGGTTCAACCCACCATTTAGTAAGAGTGTTAACACGAACATAGGAGGGAATTCTTAAGTTTAATTGACAAACACTTTCCACCACAGCACAAACTACACAAGATTTTCAACAAAAACACTTTAAAAATAAGCTATAGTTGCATGAACAACGTTAAGTTTCTAATCACCAAACATGCACAACGCACATATAAGTAGGAACAGCCAATCGCAGAATACGGAAACTGACAACTCATGTAACTGCGACAACAAAAACATTTGTCCACTACCGAAACAATGAATGACCAACAACATTATTTACAAAGCCACAGTCACAACGAGCAACACGAACGACACTAAACACTACATTGGTATGAGAGCGACTATATTTAAGGAACGTTACGCTAACCACACTTCATCTTTTCGTCATAAAAAAGACTCAAACAAAACGGAACTTTCGAAACATATTTGGAAATTAAAAGAAAAGAATCAGGATTATACCATCAAATGGTCAATTTTAAAACACGCTATTTCGTACACAGGGGGATCAAAACGCTGCAATTTATGTTTGGAAGAAAAATTTTGCATTATGAAAGACATAAACAAAGATAATTTACTTAATAAAAGAAGCGAAATTTTCGGCAAGTGTTGTCAAAAAAACCGGTTTCGAGTAAACAAGGTCGTTAACAAAATTTTATGACTCAAGCATTGTTTCGACTAACCACTGTTACGCCTAAGCATTAATTGTTTCGCCTAAGCATTGTTTCGCCTACACGCATTCCGCGCATTCTTTCGGTAGCATAAAAGCAACCTATATTTTCGAAATTACTCACCACCTGATGATATATATATATATATATATATATATACATATACATATATATATATATATATATATATATATATATAGGACGGTACCGTTTCGGCCTTATGGGCCTCATCAGTGCATCAAACGTCGGAAATTCGATTTGAGCCGCGATTTTGTTTTTCTCTACTAGCAGGATATGAGCTAATATCCTGCTAGTAGAGAACCAATCAGATTGCAGAGCACTTCATATCCAGACCATATCCTCACCTCGTTTAATTCTGTTCATTTACTTGGCTGATTTAGTAAATTGCCCGCATTTGTATGCTTGGCCGAACATCCAAACAATACCTTCATACACAACAATAAAGAGACTTTTTTGGCGTCTACTGGAAGAGTAGTCGCCATATGTTGTCGACAAGGGGTTTAGATGTTTTGAGCAGCAATATTTTTTTGAAAGCATGACAGAGATTTGCTTTCCCTAATTTCATTTGGAATAGAGTTCCATAGCTTAGCACCATCATACATGAAACTAGTTTTCATGCTATTGGTGCGTGGTTGTGGCAGACAAAGACCACTTGAAATACTTCGGAGTCTATAATTTTTTATCTCATTTTTATAAGTAAAGATGTTTGTGAGAGATTCGGGGCCTATCCCATTTTGAGTTTTGTACATCATTGTTGCTTTTGCCTTTTTTCTCATGATATCAAGTGGCTTCCAGCCTGAGGCATATAAAGCAATAGAATGATCTACATCATTGCACATATTTGAAATAGTTCGAGCAGCTCTGTTTTGGAGCTTTCGTAGTCTTTTAGATTGTATTTCCCCAAATACATCCCAAACTTCAGAACAATAATCAAAGTAGGGACGTACGATGGGATTGTATATGGAGATAAGTGTATCTCTTTCAGCATTAAATGGTTTGACACGTACGACGTTTCCTGATGTTATTTTTTTGCAAATATTTTCGGTATTAGGCTTCCAAGATAAATGCTGATCAATTGTTATTCCCAGAGTTCTGGATTTATTAACTTGTTGGATTTGTTTGTTTTCAATTTAAATATTTGGTTGAGAATTTGAAGAATTTCTTATCATTTGTGGAGAGCCAATGAACATAAATTCTGTTTTAGCGACATTCAAGCTAAGTTTATTAGCCATTAACCAGTTCCTAAGGTTCTCTAGATCAGAATTTACTGCAATCTCAATATCAGTTATGGAGTGACTAGAGGCTGTGAGGTTTGTATCATCAGCAAATAGCCGAGGTCTTGTATTTTTAAGACACTCGGGTAAGTCGTTGATGTACAACAAGGACAGCAATGGTCCCAAAATAGAACCTTGTGGTACACCACATTTCATCAAGTGTTCTGATGAAACAAAACTTTCTACTTGACACTTTTGGTGTCGATTTGAAAGATATGATTTTAATAAGTCAAGAGCTTGACCTTTTATTCCATAAAATTCCAGCTTTTTCAGTAGAATGTCATGATTGACAGTATCAAATGCTTTCTTTAAGTCTATAAAAACTACCAGGTTAAATATTTTTTTATCCATATTCATATACCAGTCATTAGTACAGTCTAAAAGAGCTGTTGCTGTAGAGTGAAATTTTCGGAAACCAATTTGGGCACCACTTAGTAGTCCAAATTCAGTTAAATAATTGTAAAGTTGATTGTATAAAATTCGTTCCATTATTTTGCTCATGGTTGGTAGAATTGAAATGGGCCTATAGTTTCCAGGTATATTTCGATGGCCACTTTTGTAGAGCGGTATAACTCTTGCCATTTTCCATTCATCAGGAAAGGAGGATAGAATAATAGCCTGATTAAAAATATATGTCAATGAATCTGCTCTGACTAGTGCAGCTATCGTTATAATTTTACATGATATTTTGTCAAGTCCAGTTGCGTTGTTGCTTGATAATCCGGATACTCAGCAACTGATAAACATTATTAACATTAGTATGTTGGAATGCAGCAAATTCCGATTTAGCTTTTTTGACATAAGTCTCAAAATTACAACTTGATGTGTGAATTTGACTCGCTAGATCTGGTCCAATATTTGAGAAATAGCTATTAAATCCCTCTGCAATGTCTTTTGGATTGTTTAAAATATTTCTCCTAATTTGAGTTCGTTTACTTTTGAATGTTTGTTTTGTTTGCCCAGCAAGTTACTAATTGACTTCCATGCTTTCTTTGGATTGTGTTTTTGATCGGCAATTTTTGAGGAGTAATAATTCTTTTTAGCATTTCTTAGTTCAATATTTACTTGATTTCTAACTTTTTTGTAGTTTGAGCAATCAGTTTCTAACTTGGCGATAATTGCTTTTCTTTTTAGTTTGTCTCTCGAACTTATGAGACCCTTAATTTTGTTTGTTATCCAAGGCACCTTTCTGGACTTAGTTTTTTATGTTGTATTGGAGCATGTTTATTTAGACCTTCTAGAAAAAGTTCTTTCCATATTTCCCACATGGCGTTTGGATCATCACCGAAAAAGTATATGTATTCCCAATGTTGATTAAGAAGTTCATCTGCAAAATTCGTCTCATTAAAATTTTTCATATTTCTAATTTCAACAAAATCATTATTAGCCTTTTGAAAAACTCTAATTTTTCTGATTGCATAAATTAGACTGTGGTCACTAATTCCAGTGTGCACAACACAAGAGTGTGAAATTTTCTCAGGTGTATTAGTGACTACATGGTCAATAAGGCTAGATGTTGTCATAGTAACCCGAGTTGGTTCATTTATCAACTGGGATAATTGGTATAATTCATATAATGAGTTTAGTTTGTTTGTTGGCATATTGAAAAGAGGTTTTTTTTCTAACAAGTTGCAATTTAAGTCACCTAAGATGTACATTTCTTTATTTTCATCATCGATTTGTTTAATAAGTTTTTTCAAATGATCAAAAAATTCTGCATTTGCATTTGGTGGTCGATAAGTTGTAGTGACAATAAATGGTTTACTTTGTGGTTTAGCAATTTCCAAGCAAACAGCCTCCAATTCATGGGGAATGAGTTCTAGCCGATCTTATTTTGTAATTTATGGAGCTACGAAGGTATATACAAACTCCACCTCCGTTGCGGGGTCGATCCTTTCTAACAAACTCATAACCATCTAAATGAATGAGGCCATCAGAAATACTCAGGTCCAGTTGTGTCTCGTTGAATGCAATTAAATCAATGTACAATGGATCGTCATTGGGATTCCTGTGTGGTTTGTGTTTTGCGTTGTTCTGGTCGAAAGTAACATCTAAAAAATTTACAACGTTCAATTTTACTTCGGCGGTGATTTTCAGGTCAAATTGCTCGGAAATTTTGTGTAACTCTTTTCTAGTTTTGTCCAGTAAACGGGCGGATTTGCTTTTTATAATAGCAAACCATCATCTCTATAAAGGCCGATGTTTTCCTTGCGAAACCTATTACCTAACTGATTTAAAATGAAAAGACCTACCATATAGAAAGTGCACGCGTTAATTTATACAAATTTTCTCATATATATATATATATAAATATATATAAATATATATATATATATATATATATATATATATATATATATATATATATATATATATATATATATATATATATATATATATATATATATATATCTATCCTAAATCTATCCAATGGCAAATACGTGCCATATAGGAAACCAGATGACCCGCCATCATACATCAATTCTCAATCGAACCATCCACCTCCCATACTTAAGCAGCTACCATCGACTATATCCAAGAGGGTTTTGTCGCTTTCATGCAACCCCGAGGAATTCGCTAGAGCAGCCCCCACCTACGATAGCGCCCTTCAATGTAGTGGGTTTACCAGCAAACTAGAATATTCCCAACCATCACCCCCTCGCAGGAACCGCAGAAGGAATATATTATGGTTCAACCCGCCGTACAGCATGAATGTCCGAACGAACGTCGGCATGCGTTTCCTGCAATTAATAGACAAGCATTTCCCAATAGGCCACCAGCTACGGCCAGCCTTTAATAGAAATAGCTGTAAAGTAAGCTATAGCTGCATGGATAACATAGAATCTATAATCAAGCAACATAATGCTAAAATTCTTAAACCCAGCCCGACAAATGACGTTAACAGTCAGTGTAATTGCCAAGACGAGAATAACTGCCCATTAAACAATGCATGCAAGACAAAGAGCATTGTATACCAAGCTACAGTGACCCCATCGAACCAGCCATCTAAAATATACATAGGAATGACAGAAAACGAATTCAAAACGCGGTACCGAAACCACAAATCATCCTTCAACAATGTTGAGCACGCTGGAAGTACAACGCTCTCGAAGTTCATCTGGGAATTAAAGGAATCCGACACAGCTTACGCAATCGAGTGGAAAATCCTTAAGCGTGCAAATGCTTATAGGAGTGGAGGAAAGATATGCAACTTGTGCCTATCCGAGAAAATCTGCATTTTAAATGCAGATAAACAATCACTACTGAATAAAAGATCAGAATTAATAGCTAAGTGTTGTCACGAAAGGAAATTTTACGCTTATAACTACAATCCACCGTAAAAGCACTTTAGTCTGATGATCGCCTTTGTGCGTGAAACTCGAGTAACTTTTATCGTAAATAGGTTTAGGTTTTATTAAATTATCTTCAGATATCATGTCTTAGTCTACACCAATAATATATATATATATATATATATATATATATATATATATATATATATATATATATATATATATATATATATATATATATGTATGTATATGTATGTATATATATATATATGTATGTATACTTGAATTAAATCACAAAACCCACGACTTTCGGCAGAGCGTTCACTGACTCTTTTCACATTGGACCCATAGCGAGAATCGAAACCACGTTCTTGGAGGTGAAAGGCGCTTGCTCTGACGACTGCGCCACCGAAGCCCTTGCGCAGTATCTCAGAGAATATCTAAAGGTGTGATAAGCAAGCACGCCAAAAGTAACAGGCCGATATATATGAGGTGTGATTCCCACCACAATTCATATAAATTATATTCATAATTATGAAGTTCATTGCGCTTGATATTAAAGATGCTGTAAAGTCCGTAATGTAAACAAACGCTTTGTTTACATTTTGAACTGGTATATTTGTAAAATATGGCATACCAACTGAATATCTAACACTTTTCAGGTTGTCTATGCTTGTAAATTAATATAAACCTACGTTTCAATTCAAAAATATTCGAAAGATGCAAAATTTGGGCAATGTTTATGTGCAATGCAATATTTTGTTATGAGCAGAACTGATGCGCAAAACGGACTTTACAGTATTTTTACAGTTGATTTCACGAAACTTTGGCCACGCCAGTTGCGAGATTGGTTGGAAATTTGGGAACTATAAACAAGTGATCATCAAGTTGATTGGAAACCGGCCAATCAAATTCGAAAGTTTCGCATCAAATTATCGAAATTTGTTATGAATTTCCGAACCAAGTTCGCAAGCAAGTTCGCAAATTGCAAACGATTTTGACGGTAAATTTTAAAAACTGAACTTATTGTATTAACCTTATTCATTTAATAATAAATAATATCATAATAATAATAATTTCAGGTTTAAAATTATAATAAGTTTAATACAATAAGTTTAGTTTTTAAAATTTACCGTCAAAATCGTTTGCAATTTGAGAACTTGCTTGCGAACTTGGTTCGGAGTTTCATAACGAATTTCGATAATTTGATGCGAAACTTTCGAATTTGATTGGCCGGTTTCCAATCAACTTGATGATCTCGTGTTTATAGTTTTATATTTTGTATATAAAATGTTTTATATTTGTTAAATATAAGAATTCGAAAAAGTATGTCAGAGATTGCTATATTGTGTTAACTTAAATTTGTTTTAAATTTGGACGATCGTGACTAAAACACCACATGCACGAGTAACACGAGTTACATGCGAGTACATACGACTTACATACGAGTACTCTACATACGGGTACATACGAGTAAAACACATTCAAATGAGTGTATCTAAAAGTCGAGATTTGAGAGTATAGCTCGAGAGTAAAAGTCAAGAGTAAAAGTCGAGAGTCGAGGGTAAAAGTCGAGAGTCGATAGCTAAAAGTCGAGAGTGGACAGCAAAAAGTCGAGAGTTAACAAATGTCATCAGAAACAACAAAGTGAAAATATTTTTAAAATAGTGGTGATGGGGTGTATCGTGAGTCGTGATTCACTCAATTTCGGTTACCATCAGTCGTGAAAACACTACAAATTTACCGTGAAGCATGAGGGAAAAATACTGTTTATCGTTTCAGAACACTTTTCAAAGATTTACCGTTAAAATACCAAAATTTTACTCTCGACTCTCTACCTATACTCTCGACTCTCGACCCTCG